AAGTCGTGTCCCTTGCACGACTTCACTCTTACACATGAGTCAGAAGTAAAGTCGTATACCACTAAAATGATATCAGGCCATTGTAATCGATTACCAGACCTGTATTTGATCACAAAAGGCTGAACTCGTGTGTAATAGGTAAAATCTATCTGGTGGTAATCGATTACCAGAAGGTTTTAGTGTTAAAACAAAGTATTTTTAGTTTTATGGACTATGTTTGTTAATTATTAGTAATTAATAGAGTTTATATTTAAATTGTTACCACTTAAATGGTTACTATTTAAATTAACATAGGCTTGTAATCAATTACCAGAGAGATTTTGCCTATTACACAGAAGTTCAGCCTTTTGTAATCGATTACAAGACTGATAATCGATTACCAAAGCCTGAATCGTTTTAGAGTGCACGACTTCACCTCTAATTCATGGTCAGGTTGAAGTCGTGCAGGGACATGACTTCTTCATTGAAGTTCATTACACCCCCACTATTTGTAGATCCGTAATTTTAAAATTTTTTGCATACATCCGTAATTTTTTGTTCAAATTTACCTTTAAAGGTACAAAAACCCCTTTCTTCCACTTCTTTTTACTCAATTTGTTTTTCTTAATATCTTTCATTGTCGAAACAAAATATAAAAGAGAAAAATATGATTGAAAACAATATGAAATAGTTTGAAGAAATAAAATGGTTGTAACACTCAGAACAATAAACAAAAAAAAAAAGTAAGAAAAATTTTAAAAATGCAAAAACTAAGGAAAAAAAAAGCATTGATGTAGATTTTGAAAAAATATTGTAATACGTAAGTTTAATGATAAAAAGACATAAAAATTGTAAAGGACTAAGTATTAAAAATATGGACAATTTTAATCTAACAGGATTTAAAAAAATTATAAAAAATTAAACGTTGTTTTATAATTAATAAAAAACTGACAGGCATGAAAAATATTAAAAAAAGGATATTCTACCATGATTAATAATATGTAGTTAGTAGTATAGTAGTTTAAGAAATTTAAATGTAAGGAATTTAATACTTACTTGATTAGTGAAACCGACTCCAAATCCAAACAACCCGACCCAGAATGAGCATAACGATATTCTCTGCACTGCATTAAGGGAACCACCGAGAAGAAACAACAGCACCACCTAATAAGATGGTGTTTCTTCGACCTATTGCTGTTGTTACTCGACTAGCTACCAGAGACGATACTAACCCCGCAAGATACAGAGAAGAGGTGAACAATGTCAAAACTTGACTGTCATAAACACAGTACATGTTCACTTCACTGCCACCAATCTTTCTTAATATGTCTGGGAAGAATTTTTCCAGAAACGGCACCATTGTTGTCACTCCTCCTGAAATTTTTTAACATTTTTATTCCAAGGAAATAATCACCTTAGACATTAAATGTATCAATATTTATTATAATTTATGTTAAAATTTTAATATATTGATTAGAATAAAATCAATTAAAAAATAGAAATGAATATAAACTTTATTTTACAAATTAAATTTAAAATCTATTTCTTAACGTTTATACAAACCTCACTTCCTATAACTGTTATAAAATATTTTAGTGATTAAAAAGGTTAACTTTTACATTTATAATATAAAAAAATAATATAGTGTATAAAAAATTATTAGATGTTATAATAATAATATCTTTATTTTCCCTTTCTAATAAAATATTTCGTCAAAACCCATCCAAATACATAGACATAAGAGTATTGAAGTGATGATATGCCATGCTAATAAAACATCTCGTGGGCCCACTGTGACGTGTGCAAAGTTATTGTTAACTGTATACAAATGTCGTTGTCCATAAAAGTCTAAACATTTTTAGACACCACAATTCAACTATACATTTTCTTAGTATCTTGTCATATGATGTAAGATTTTATTATTTTTCAACGTATACAATTAAAGGACCTTGAAATACTTTAAGATTCAAAGCATGTGCAATTCACAAAAGAAGGTTTTTCGTATTTGTGAGGCCAGTGACGTCTGCTTTTTCTATCTATGATTGAAGTTTTCTCCTTTCAAAGTCTTTTTTGTGGCCCGTACTTTTTAAGATTAAATTTAAATATTTTTAAAATTCCTTCTTTTAATCTTTTCTATTATTACTATATTTGTGTTCTAAGATGCTAAATATTTTTAGTTTTTCTACAAAAAAATAGTAATTAAAAAACATTATCGTAGGAAAATCATCATTATTTTTTTAACATTTAATATTAAAGGGGTGAAATTAGTTGATGTGTCATATAAGCCATAATTCGATTATTTTGTTTAAAAACTGATATCGTGTTTGGAAAACGCAATTTTTCTTCCTATATTTTGAATCAATAAATCCCTGCAATTGTGCGATATTAGTCTCCAGCAAAAAATAACTGGAATAGCTAATTCTCTTTGAATTGAGGGATAATTTCATTTAAATTTATTATTGATTCAAAAATTAAATTTGAATTTACCGTATCGTAAGTGTTAATTAAATAACAAAACAAGTAAATGATAAAGAAAACTTCTAAAATAAAGCAAAGTTGGAGTAATAATTCTTAGAGATATTGAGCCATAAACTATTCTTAAACTCTATTGATGATAATAATAATTAGAGAGTAACATCCATATCTCCTATTTAGATGTTTTGATTTTCAACCATATGTTGAAATCATTGAGAATCTAAGCAGGACTATGTAAAAGCAAACCACATATCATTTGATTTTCTGATGAGAAAGTTGTAAGAAGAAAAAAACCTGAAACTCCGAGGTCATATCCAAAAAGGAGTCCACTGGATGCAGCAACGATGCAGGTGATGACGATTGAGAGCGTGATCTTGGAAGGGAAGCCATTGGTAATTGGTGATGAATCCACAGGCAACACCCCACCCGCCATGTTGATGAACCTCTTTATCTCTTTCTCAGCTTTTTTCAATTCTGGTTCTTTCTTTGCCCTCTGTGTACTGGCCAATGCCGTGGCCACTAATTTATAGGCCAAAGAGTATGGAAGTGTGAACGTTGTCTTGTCTGCTACAAGTGGAAGAGAGCGCTACTGCATTTTTTTTTCTATTTAAATTTTGTCACTATATGTGTTGATTATCTTCTCTATTATAAACGCCAACGTTAATTCAAAATGTTTATTTGTCATAAATTTATAGTTACATAAAGTAAATATTTACAATGTGCAGCACAGTTAGAACCAGGGTGTGTATGTAGATAGATAAATAAAAAGAGTGATTCCTCTAAAAATTATTGGTTCTTATGAAAACCAAATATATTTAATCACATTTAAATTATACAAATCTAAAAAAATGCATATGATTTTATATGTAGTGATTCTATCATAACTAACTTTATAATCTTAATTATTTATGTGTGATTAGATGGTGTCACTAGTGCAGTAAGGGAAAACGACAACAGTTATTTTCGTCTATAGGCAGCAGTTTCGCAACCGAGACATATACACGCGAGGCAAAAAAGGGTAGGTTTCTTGTCTCGGTTGACAACCGAGGCCAAAAGCGGTCGGATTATGCCTCAGTTCTTAGGTAACCGAGGCAGTAGGTGTTCTTTTTTTAGACTTTAGGCTTCGGTTTGTACTGAACCGAATAGTTCTCATCCTCGCCGAACGATGTTCGTCCTCGCCGAACGGTGCTCGCCCTCGCTGAACGGTTCTCGATCTCGCAGAGCCCTAGTTGCGTCATCTCCTCCATTGACGCATCAACCATGGAACTCTCGCTTCTCACGAAAGCGCCTCTTCTAGCAGGTTCGCGAACCCAAGTGCGACCTCACCATTGCCACTACCTCGTGCCATCGCTACCGTGAAGCATCACCACCGCTGTCACACTACAAAGCTTACTTCAGGACGTTGCCGCCGTAAGAATCGCGGAACTCAACGGAGAACTTGCAACCACCACATCTTCATCCGGGACACCATCAAACCTGCAAACACAAGAACCAGAAATCTGTAGAAGGACCACGAGCTAAATCGCAAACCCACGAGTTTTGCATTGCCATGCGTATTTTCCTCTCTGCAATACCACCTAGAACCAATGAAAAGGGGGAAGAAGATAAATGGCGAGAAGAGATTGGAAATAGAATCAAACCTCCTTTGCCGCGAATTAGAACGGAGAAAACAAGAGGAAGAAGAACCCTAGGTTGGAGAGAAGAACTTCTTTGGAGGCGCGAAAGGGAAGAGGAAAGACACTGTGCGAGAAAATGCATTCGCGTTTAGTTTACGCAGGGGCTATTACCTCGGTTAAGTAAAGACGAGCCGAACGGTACTTTGCCTCTGTCCCTAGACAACCGAGACATATTAGTGGACAAAATTAACTTGGAACGTTCGGTTACTGTCTCAGTTCATAGCAGAAACGAAACTGAACGGTCTTATTGCCTCTGTCCTAAACAAACGAGGCATATTAGTGGACAAAATTAACTTGGAACGTTCGGTTACTGCCTCGGTTCATAGCAGAACCGGTTCATAGCAGAACCGAAACCGAACGTTATTTACATACATTATTTCTTCAATCATATATAGATGATTAAGATTTAATGTTGTATATATTAAATAAAGTTATTTTCTATTTCGACAAAGTCAAAATAAGGATGTGTTTCGATGTTATTATTCAAGTTAAGATATCGATATATTTGTTTGCTCTACCTTTCTTATTTCATAAATGAAAACGATAAATCTGGGTAAAAATTAATTTGACCAAGTTCTTTCTTTATTCTTACTCTTATCTATTTATCTTATTTTTAAAAAATTACCTCAAAACCTTAAAAAGAACACAGACAAAATTTATAGGAGAGAGGAAGATAACAAAATTATTTGGATGAGTTATGATTTTATGTGAGTCAAAGAAAGAAGGAGAGTTGTGTATTAAAATTTGGAACACTTCAACCAGGCTTTCTATCAAGTAAATGATGGAAAATGCTGATAAGTATAAGCTATGATATACATGTTAAATTTAATTTACATAGGAAGAGAGGTCCTTTTGATATCATTTCCATATTTAGTGTAAATTAATTTTAATATTTGTTTAAACAAATTAGAAAAAGTTTAAAAACATTATCGCATCATGTATAATTTATTTATTAATATAATAATTATGTTTTCGAAAACATGTATTTATTATAAATTTTAAAATTATAAAATACGGAAACTTGCCTTATAGATTATAATGTTAAATGACTACTAATTTTAAAATTAATATTTTTGTTTCTTATATTCATTAAATAATCATCCTTGATTTTATACTGAGTTTAGGAAAACAAAATATACTTTTAAATTAGAAAATAATAAAACATGTTCAACAAATTTTTTTTAAGTTCAATAAGGGGGAAAAAACTACACTTTTACTACAACAATCTTCTTATGTTAGTTTTTATTTTAAATTCTATTAAATCGTTGAACATATGTTTTTCTCTTTACTAATAGTTACATGTTTTCATTAAAAGAAAAATTAAAGTAAATATGCATTAATATTAAAGAAATATTAAATAATTTAAATTTACAAAGTAAAAAATAAAGGGTATAAGAGTTGGTTTTAAAACTAATTATACTAATAAACACATATCAATTACTTTAATCACTAATAATATTCAAACAAAATTAAAATTATAATTTTTATCATACTAAAAAGAAACAATGTCAATAGTTCTTACATTAAATTAACTATTTATTTTTACAATATTTATAAAATTTATTTAACTAAATCTATAAATACGAACATCAATTTTAGCCTTTATATTTATTTTAGTAATTGTTGACTTTTTATATATCCACAAGTGGGGGGACACAGATATAGAAGGTGATATAATTAATTGTTCTAGCACTTGTTGGCCAGTTAGATTGGTTCTTTATGAGGATACATTACTAATAGTCTTCTACTGTTATAAAAGTCTTCTATAGGATATATACACGAGTGCTTAATAATTTCAGCAACAATCTAGGGATGCCATTCCAGCTTAGTGCGCCTTCTAATCACAATTTCAAATTAATAAATTACTCGTCAAACCAAAGTACTCAACCCTAAGCAAGCTGCTCAAGTCCATATTTTTATAATTATATAAAACATGTTTGAATATATAAAAAATACTAGTGTTTTTTAAAAATTTCACTGGAAAATGAAGTAAAAATACTATAAAACTCATAATAAACTTTATAATTAATTGGTTTAAAATGAAACCTTTGCAAATTATTTAATTTCCTTATATAAAATATAAACTAAATTACGTTACATGTTGAAGTTTTATTGCTTGAAAACCATGAATGTTTGGTTTGAAGAAAGCGAACTCAATTATCCTACAGCTTTAAGATTACAGCTGGCTTAAGGCTCTGTAAGTTGGCTTAGGACTTAAGATGTGCCAATTTTCTATATCAACGGTATGCGCCAAATAAGATTCACCTTGTTTTCTGAAAAAAAATAAAATAAACATATTGATGGTAAAAGTTATCTTTCGACGTAATATTTCAGGACAATTGACAACTGTTAGTGTGTTAATCAACCGTGATTTAATTACATTTTTCAAAATCGAGGTTGCTCTGAGATGGCAAAAGTATTTAAAAACAGGAAGTTGTAACCCAATTAAACAAGAAAAAGACTTTTGAAACAAAATTTGGGATTAGAAATCAATTACCATAATAATGTACTAGTCCACAATGTTGGTTTTCAAATATCCATTTTTAATAAATATATTTTTGTATTTTTATTTTAAATTTTAAGATGGTATTTTTTTCTAATTATATTTTAAATTAATTAAATGGAGAGAGAGAAAATTTAGATATAAATTCTATCCGTAAAGATGCAAACATATTGTTATGGATTAATGAATATCTTGTAATGAAACAACTCAAAAACAGTTTTAAATATAAAAATTCATATCACTTTACTAATTAATTAGATTATGACTTTCTTAATCATACAAAACCAAGTTCAAATTAGTAAAATTTCAAAAATCAAACATTAAAATCACAAATGTCAAATACATACAAAATTTTAGATTACACCGTCTTCACTAGTTCAATAATTCATTTGCAATATCAATCAACTAACATTCACATTTCAACGTACAATTAATTCATACAAGTTAAGAACGGAACCATAATTCAACATATCACACATATCAACATTCAATCAATTCACTACACAATCATAAAATTAGAAATTTCAATATATTTATAACTTAAATATAGTACAATTAGTTTTCCTTACTTGAGAACAACTGAACTTACTCTAAGGAATCACAAATCCTCTTTAATTCACAGGATATCCTATCTATACATAGAAATAACACAAACATGATCAAGATATATCCTTAGAATCACTAATCAACATAGAATCGTATATATGACTAAAAAGACAAATAGAAATAAAAAAAGATTTACAATTAATAAATAATAAAAAAAAACTAAAAAAACTGAAACTCAACTTAAACGAGTGAAGAAACTTATGAGTCTAAATTGAAAAGTTTGCAGCAATGATAAATCCTATTATTTCGATTATTCAATCAAATGAATAAAGAGAAAGAATCCTTAGAAAGAAGTTAGATAATTCTAAAAAAGTGTTTAGAGATGATGTGTTTTTTCTTTTGTATTTTTCTCTCTCTCATATATATATATATATATATATATATATATATATATATATGTTATTGATAAATGATCAGCACAATAATTTATATATAATGGGTTTTGATTTAGTCATAATGGTTAGAGAATTTCAGAAATCATAATAACGTATTAAGTTGTTAAAGAGATATTTCAGGAACCACTGATAACATATATCTCTTCTTATTATTAGTGTCATCTGTATAAATATTGCATTCCTATACATAAAAAGGGAATCAATCTCATAATCATAATATATATATATATTATATATATCTATATATATATTATATAATATATATATATAAATATATATATTCTAATAGCCAAATAAATACAAATAGTTACTTCTTTTTATTTAACACTTGTTTTAGAGAAGAGTTTTAAAATGTTAAACTTTAAATATTAGAAAAATATTTTACCCAAGTAACGTTTCTTCATTAATATATTCATCGTAACTAATTAGTACTGTTTAAATTTTAAACAAGATTTAAGTAATTATAAAACTTTTTTTATTTAAGATTGTATTAATATTTTTATTTTCGTTATTTATTATTGAAGAATTTATGATAAAAGAAATTATAGATGAGGGTTATTGAAATTTGTTAAAAAATAATTTGAAGAATATAAAGTTGTCACATTCCAGTGGCTTCAAAGTCAAAAAGCTGTCAAATCATATTTAATTATTGAAAAACCTTTGACTTTTACCACGATGACATTGTGAAAAATGTCTTTGTTTAACCCTTGTTATAAACAAATATGTCTTTTTATTTTTTCCCTTTCTTTCTAAAGAAACACACGATTTGACTGAAACAATAAAACCGAATTACATGCTAATCAACCCATTAAGTATTGAATAGAGAAGTCAACTTGCAATGAATAAAGCTGAAACACTAAGAACAAGAACATGACATCAAGTTGGCTACATGGAAATAATAATGAAACAAAAGAAATAAAATTAGTAACAAAATAATGCTTTGAACGAGACACTTTGTGCATAGAATGACCCACATATGAATTTTATTTCTTGGTAAATTACAGTTTTTTTTTTTGTTTTGAATATTTTCTTTTCAATTGTGGGTGTGTCGCAGATAACAAATATTTACATTTGTGCTCCCTCAATAATATTATTTATAGATACATGTCCGGTTGGAATTTTAAAGAGGTGATGATGTTCTTGCTACAAGACCTTTTCCTATCACAGA